TAAAACTAGCAAAACCTGTAGCATTGCGAGGGGTTCAAAGAAAATTAAAAAGGAATGTTCGATTTAACTTGAAATTCTAGTAGAAAAATCCAAAATACCCCCAAAAAAATTCAGATGACTCTTACACATATAGTGGCAAGAACTCCTCTTGGAAACTCTACATGAAACTCTCTCTCAAGCTCCTTTTCTATTCCATTCTTATCTGCAAAGCACCTGACAAATATAGCAATTGCACTTCCCCCTTCGATGATTAACTGTGAATGCGACAGGTGATGAAGGAGAAGTTTTATCAATGTAATTCAAACATTGTTTAATCTGAAACAGAAACAGACTATACCACTGACCATTAACAGGACGAAAATCATAAGAAGAAAGAATGCTGTGTAGTTCCTCTTCCCGACGCAGTTATTCAACCACTAGGGGAAAAGAAGAAGAAGAAGAAGACCAATTATATCTCGACAATCAAAGTGTGAACTACTCCTCCATACAAAATAGAAATTCACAAATGCCAGTACTCACTCTGCAATGATGGTCAAACCCTTCAACGCAGCGGTTGCATGTCCTGCAGTGCTTACTGTGCTTTTTCACCTGAGACACAGATTAAAAAAAGTTTTACTTCGTGGAATGCTTTAATGAAAATTGTTTGATTAGGGAAAGCTTTCAAAAACGAACAACAAGGAGTTATTGGAAAACCTCAAAATCACAAAGCAAGCAAAATGAGATGTCATCGTCTTTCAGATTGGGTGCAATGGCATCATCTTTCATGACAAGTGGAAATGGGAGCAAAGGCTCCATTTGGGTACTTGTCTTCCACGGATCTAGGTACTTCCTCTTGATGAATGTCCTAAGCATCTTCCTTTCAAGCCTTCTGAAAAATCTTATGATAATCTGTCCCAGCATAAACCCATAATTTAGCTTGGAAATTCCATTAGACTTTACTTTTTTCTTCTTCCTAAAACTGGTTCTGTCTGTTGGATCAATTGCGGTACACCTAATGTACAGAAGCATAACGGAGAATGCCTGGGGAAAAAGAAAACAGTTGGTGAGTCTTATGTGAGTTCTAACAAAACTGAGGTTAAAGATAAAGGTCATTTCCGAAATTGTGTGCAGTAAATTACCACACAGGAATATATCACGTTCATCACAATCTCCGCTGTTCTATTTCCAAAGAAAAGCCCCAGGAAAGTATAGAAGGCCGCGACCAGGAAACTGTAAATTGCCATTCCCACATACTGCGAGATTTCCAGCCACAAACGTTAGCTCAAATTCACGGCTTTTCACAACCGGGCATTTGGTCAGGAATAAGACAATTCAAATAAAGAAGTTTACATTGAGAAAGCACAAAAGGTTCAAAAAAGACAATTGCGTTTTACATCAACATGCCATGAATTACAGCTACAGGTAGTAAAATTGGTATTCTGTGAAGTGAAATCCGGCTGCGAGATTCAAGATTAAATCGAGAGAGAAAAAGCTGAACGGAGTGGGATACCTGTAGAGGGTGTAGAGGACGCTGCCAGCCATGGTGTCTCATGATCTATGTGAAATCTGGAGAAAATAATCAGATCCAAGCCCAGATTCTGAAGCAAATATGCTTAGTTACTTCATTCGTTCAAGAAGAAGTCAAGTCATGACCTTCAAACTTGAGAGCAATACCCCAGCCTCAACGGTCGACCAGCTCGCTTTTTCGAAATTGAACGGCGCTCTATTATCCAAGGGTTAGCAGATCCAACGGATACGAGCTTTCTGGAGCTTATCAAGACTCCCGAGATAGAATATGTGGGGCCCATTCTAAGAATGCATTCGTTCCCCCCCCACCCCAAAAAAAAATACACGAGGTTCGCCGCTTTGACAGACTTGCCGAGTCATGTGGGCCACATTGATGATGGGCCCTTTGTTGTTGGCCCAGATGGTTGCTAGGAAATGTAAAACCAAATGGTTATTATGATTTTTAATATAAGAACTAGTCAAAAAATTAAATTTAATTCTAAATATAAAATAATAATTTATTTTGTTTTTTAAATTTATAATTTTTTTCAAATTTTTTTATTAATTGTAAGGAATTAAGAGATAATTTCAGTGCATGTGATCAGATATGTTGGATTAAAAAAGTTAATACACATTTGTTAAAAATAAATAACTTAAAAATTTTCTTAATCTCTCCAAATTAATAACCTAATTCTCATGTCAAAGACCAGAGGTAATATTACACTTTCGACCCTCTATGATTATCACGTGTCTAAGAAAATGTAATTGATTACATTTATTACATCCGTCCTGCATATATACGATGATACAGTAATTATTTTGCTATTTGGATTAAATAGAAGGGACTAGATACTTCTTAAATAAGGTTATGGATTCAGATTTTGCCAACGAGAAAAAATCATTTTAAGAGAGTTACCTCATTTGGAACAAAATTATACTCAAATATGAATTAATTGATAATGCCATATACCAGTTACTTGCACAAAAACGAAGTAATTATTATAGTAGTATATAAAACTATATTGTAGCAAATTATTCATAATTTTTATAAATTTATGAGTATAATTATAAACACATACCTGACAGAAAAATGATTTAAGATTTTATAATTGATATATTGTTTTCAAAGTATATACAGTGCTCGTGAATTTTCATGATATATTTAATTAAAAGAAAAAATAATAATCTCTAAGGCTCCAAGATGATCTATGCGCGCGTTATCAGCGCGCAACACATCCGGGTTTATCGCACACCGCGGTGCCGCTTCTCCATTAATGAATGGCCGAGCAAGTTTCATGTGGTTTGAAAACACCGGGAATTAAATGTATTTTCAGTTTCTTTTTTTTTACCAGAAATGTATTTTTAGTTTGAAAACGGATTTTTGGCTGAGATCTTTAGTTAGCTAGTTATTAATTGATAAACATATTTCTCAAATATTAGATCAGAATATCAGGTAGCAATATTATTGAATAGACACGAATCGTTTCATGGATTACGTACCTCGTATAGCTGTGAGACTGAGAGCTTGATGATATGTCATAACCTTTTCCTTACATGTAAACTTTTATTTTCAAAAATAATAAAGTTGCGCCATTATACTCCTCTCTTGTATCTGTACATATAAAAATCAGGCCCCCTGTTTGTTCTAATGCGCATACTAGTTGGTGGAGAATGTAGTGCAGGACGGAGGAAGCTGAGTCGACGGAGAAATCCCAAGAAGGGGAATAGCATTTCCATTTCCACTCCCACCATCGCTATCCACATTACTCCCAAAGATAGACGAGATTGCCGCCGCCAGCGCCGCAGTGAAGTTGGGATCGGAGGCAATGGCTGCACTCATCGTCTCCACCATAGAAGGCTCTCGTTGCTGCCCTAACTGTGGCTTCTGATGAGGAAACAACATAGACTGCCCCATTTGCTGCAGTGGGTGACCGTGCAACGGTAGAGGAAACGTAACCCCATTGGACGGTGACCGGTGAAGCTGCGCGCTTCTGGGGGTCCGAGTCAAGTCCAAAGTGATAGTAGGGAACGGTCCAGAGGCTGATAGGGTTGCCATTGAAGCGTAGGGCATAGAAGACAAGTGCCCTCCACCTGAATTTGTTAAGGCTTCACTGTTCACGGTTGAACCTGATAGAAGCATCGCTGCGGCTGCCGATGTCGTATTTGCCATCGCGGTGGCCGCCGGTGGGAGAGGGTGGTTGTGATTCCCTTCATACGTTGTTATCAACACCGTCTTGTCTTCCGCACATCTCTGCACCTATAATTAATCGAATGTAAAGGGATGGGAATCACAAAGGCCTACGATTTAAGAAAGAATAGCTATAAAAACCCTTCATTAATCACCTGCTTACGAACGGGGCATCCAACGGCCATGGTACAACGATAGTAGGCGCGAGGACAAGGGTTACCTTTGGCCATTTTTTGACCATATTTCCTCCACTGACATCCATCACTAATCTGTAAACCACAAACAGATAGAAATCGTTCAATAATATATTATAGATATTGGCTTCGTTGCCCAGAGAGGGAATTGTATTCGAAATGATGGACACTACCAGAAGAGCTTCTGATCTTGCACGTACGGAAACCCTGGCTTTTCTGAAATGAAGGTCCGCCTTTGGTTCTTCGCTTTTGAGATCTTGCGACGTGGAAACATTTTCAGGACAAGCTGCTTCCTTTCCGTGAAGTTTAGGTGACTGATAGCTGCGGTGGTCACGTTGCTTTGACATTACCTCCGCGTTGTTTGATGAAGGAGAGACTGAAAGCTCTCCAGTCTTATCGACGTCTGAAACCGAATTGTTGACGTGTAATTTGGTAGACGCCCGTGGGTCCAATATTTTCTCTTGTCCCGACAACATACCATTTGCGTCAACCTTCTGTTCAATGCCATTAAAAAAGATTATTTGAAATTACTATATAAAGTACCACCTCCTTAATTACTGTTTGACTTCCACCAGATATTGTTTGTGTATTATAATTATAATATAACAAAACAGCTGCACATGTTGCTGCTAGAAACAACTACGTACACACTACTTTGATTCGTATGGGGGGTCTCAACCCTTTTTCCTGTGTGCTGGATCAATTTATCGGAGGACGGGGCCCGAGTCAATACTGAGTCATGTCATGTGCTTATTCTTATTAGTTTCGATCTGTTCTTGTTTCGTTATTTCATCGAAGTAATAATAACAAAAATTCATAATTTCAAGGCATCATTTCAATAAGTAAAATCCAGGTCAGAAAAATTCAATAAGAAAATAAAGGTACCCACTGCCTGGGGATCGTATCCAGGATTAGCACGATTTCCAATTTAATTGATGCACGTTACCATTTCTCTACTGAGAGAGAGGGGAGGGACCACATACAGAGACGCGATGAAACAGATACTACTTTCTTATTGAAATCGATTATATATCTTCAGAACCAAAAGATTGATTGCTTCTGAAAATACCCCCGACTCTGGACGATTAAAACGAAAGAGCTATAAAGGAATAATAGACATATATACAGCAGATTAAATATTTACCTGAGCCTTTTGTTCATACAAAGCGATGAACAGATGTGCCTGCAGCTGGTTAATCTGTTCCAGCATATTTTTCAACTTCTGATTCTCTTCATGCAGCCTCCGCAATTCCCCTTGAAGTGCACTCAACTGAAAATAGTAAATTAATAAGCAGATATATAGCTCAGAAACTGACGACTGAACATATCGCAGAATTAATTAACTTTGATGCTATAAGTATGGAATGTTTGTGCGAGGGTCCGTATATGTCTTCAAACAGAGAAAGAATGAAGAGGCGGACTCACACTTGGTTCAGTATTGAGCATCTCCTTTTCTGATCTTGGCATTCCAGGACTTGCACAGTTCAAATTCAGTCCAGTCTATAGACCACATATACGACAGATAATTATTTTCAAATCTTTATTTGGAGGAGATTCAATATTGAGATGGAAATTGGAAACTGGATAGAATCAAAAGATTGAAATGGAGAAAGCTATGTCTCAAACAAAAAAAACAAAAAAAAAAGCAGAAGGAGAAGCATGCCCAAAATATAATAGAAAACCTACGTTGACGGGGCGATCAGGTAAGGGAGCACTTGATGATCCGTCGTGATTGATCCGGTCGTGGGGATCTTGGGGCTGGTGATTTCTGGTCTCAAAAGATTTAACGGGTGAAGCAGAAGAGAAGAAATCCATTTCTTTGATGATAGGACGATCGGTGGGGTCGGTGCTCATTGGATCTAAATTCTGCCGGAGAAAGTCGCCGGAGCTAATGGAGCTCAATTCACGGCGGCGTCGTTGGTTTTCCATTTCCAGTGAGAAGAGAAGAGCTGTAGCGAAATGGTTGAATTGAATTGATTTAAGCCTTCTCAGTTCACAGCAAGAGCCAAGAAGGTTTAAATGCGCCACGCCACCCCGACTCCTGAAGGACGTTCCCTCAGTTTTTAAATTATAAAAAAAATGAAAAAAAAAAGTGAAGATAAAACTTAAAATACTCTCAGTTCAGGACCAACCGTTTTTAATTTCGTGGGAAGATTGACGTCATGGTTAAGCCAGTGAGGCCAGAGATGCGAAGATTATTAGGAGAGGACTCTATTACCATATACACTTGAGGGTCGCCGTTAAAAATAACGGTCGTCCATTTTCGTGCCTGACAGTGAAGCAGTGACAAACTGACTATTCTTTGTTACGTAACCCGGGGGGTGGTTTGGCAGACCTGAGGTCAAAGGGGCTGACGGCACGGCTAAAATCCGACGAGGGGTTAGAATCAGTGGGGCCCCTTCGATTGGAAAACCTAATCCCTCTGACTTCGAAGCCGACGACAACGTCATCGGGATCATTCGTCCACGACAGTTCCTCGTTTCAGACTCCAGCAAAAATCTTCCCTCGTCCGTAACACTGACGAAGTGATCAGTTTTCGTGTCCTCTCGAGTATTATTACAAATCGAACAAGAGTTCCATCAATCATTCGTGAACAATGGACACATTTACCGGTCTTCACATCTTCTCTTGTTTTCAAATTTCACGCCCTCGTGTATGATGAACACGTGTGTGTGTGTGTGTGTGCACGGTGAATATGAATGGCCTTTAAATAATTGAAGATCAACTATTGTTATATCATCGTTTTTTCCCTTTTCTGGTTCTTGTGCGTAATCAGTATTATCCCGTTGCGTTTGGTTACCTCCTTTTTCAAAGCCGAGTCTCATCTATCTCGTCTTTTCAGATATATACAAAATTCAGACTCTGACTAACGTATGTATACCTACCCCGGTGCCCTAAGTAACGGCCCTTCTTAATTCCCCTCTATCTTAGGATAAAGGACGAGAGTTAATAACTGCCTTAATTTTTAATTTGTGTCGCTGAAAGTCCTTGATTGAAAACAAAACAAAGTTTATATAAATCGAATTCATAAATAAGTACAGAAGACGCGGCAACCTTGGAAAACAGGCTACGTGACAACCATATCATGCCTCATAACTTGACGACGGGAGAGCTGCCAGTGCAGTCGTTTAATTGAAACCAGAATGATTTGAATTGGTCAAAGAGAGTGGAAAATGAAGTCAATCACGTTGGACGTGTCTGTCCACAATCTACACCCTGCTGGCTCTTCAATGGAGACTTATCCCTCGTGGTTCAGGACACACACTAAATATATAGCATAGTGGAAGCCTGTCATGCAAGATATTACATATATTGCTAAGAATCATGGCCCACCTTATTAATTAACGTTAGTTACCTCACTTGAGATCTCTGACGTTTTCCATGTGAAGACGCACATATACGCGCATCCGCAAGTCAATGTCAAGTTGCTCATTTGCTTTTTATATTCTTCTCCCTCTGGAGATAACTTGGCGGACAGAAGACCCCATTTCACACAGACTGTACGTATTCAACTTATCACAAAGGTAAACCAACGCGGCCATGGACAGGACGGGGCAAACACGCTAGACCCTCGGCTTTGCGGCTTTGCCCCCTTTTGTCCAGATTAAATATATGATTCCTTTCACAGTTTCGAAACTATTTTCTACACCTTTAATTAATATCCTATTGATTCTCCCTAATTAACTAGTGATTACTTGGATTCAAGCCCCGCGCTATACACAGCCTACCCTATAGTTCCATTTATTAAACTCACTAATTTCTTAATTAATGCCATATATTTATTAGGTCTATATGATTCTGATGTTGACATGCATGAATAAAAAAAGGGGGGCACAAATAAAAAACAGAGAAAAGTACAGTCGTGTTAATTTTCATTTCATTTCACGTCTTTCTTACGCGTGCACGATTTGTAGAGGACGGGTGTACGTTAAATAGTAATGAAGAGGTGCGTTAAGAAAGAGCGTGCAAGAGGTTGATCAGGAGATCCAGAGAAGCATATGCGTTGATTCATTATTGATCCGGCTGCAAGGCTAAAGGAGGAAATGAATACAAAACTAATTAAACTTATCGCGCTTTGTAATTTACCAAGGTTAAACATTGTTATATGATGAGAAATGGGCCGATATAATAAGTATCGGCAAAAACATTAATAGAAAAATCCCAAGTTAATCAGTCACGGTCACTAGTCGAGAATCATGGCCATGCATGGAAATCATCAACCAAATGAAAGCTAAGGGATGCTTTTTCATGGTCCGTTAATTGATTGGGGGAAAAAAGTCATTAGTAATGAAAATTAAGGGATTGGAAGAATTTGCACCCATTATTTTCTTATTTTGGCACTAGCTTGCAGGGACCATAGGGCGTCGACTTTTGACCTAGAAGTCAGGACCACCATTAACTCATGAACTTGGAAAAAGATTGTGTGGCCCAACCCCGTTGAGAAAGAGGGCGATGAGAGGGTAGAGCCATGACTGTTTACTATTCGCAAAGTCTGTCTTTGAATACACAACTTTGTCTTGTGGTTTTATTGCATGCAATAACTTCTAAGAAATTAAAAGCAAGTGGGTGACTATTAATTAAGATCCTGTCTCTATTCGGCGGCCACCATTTCATGCGACTTCTTCCTTGACAGTGTTTATATAATAAAAATATTGTTTTGATCTCTAAAATTAAGAATTAAATACTGATAAATGATAGACACAAAATGCAACGGGCATGATCTCTTGTATTAGACACGAGAAGCGATATGTTGAATTTTATAGAGAGAAGTGAGGGAGAGAGAAGTGTTGGTTGGAGGTTGGATTCCCTCCGATCTAACACGCAGGGGTCATCCATCCTTGTCCTGGTAGTATTAATGTTAATAATGAGTATTACTTCCGGTCCTTAATATAAGAGTTAGTTTAAATTTTATTTTGGTTCTAAATATAATATCTCAGTCCGTTTTTTTCTCATATTTATCCATATTTTTCAAGGTAGTCATTATAACAATTACACATATTAAATGTTTCATCAAATGACACTTGATTAATAAGTGTATTTTAGAAGAAATAATACACATTTATTATAAATAACTAAATTAGCTAATTTTTTTAATCTACTCAAATTAATTAATCACTTCTTATATTAAGGATCGGAAGTAATATCATTATCTCTCAACCATAGGGTGATCCTTGTCCAAAAGCCCTCAAACCCTGTTGGATGGAAGGGCGGGCCGGAGAAGCAGATATTTAAGTCCCAGATTGAAGGATGGATCCATCAATTTGATGGGCCTTCATCATTTTTGCTGCTTGTGTCCTTTTTTTTGCTTTATTTGTTTATTTTCTCGTTGAGAGAATTTTATGTTCGGTTAATCAGTATCTTTAAGTATTTTTTTCCAGTACATTCAACATTTCAAAATATTTTGTAATACATCTAATATCCTAAAATATTTTTTAGATGTGTCCAGTAACCTAAAATATTTTTTTTTGGTCCTAATACTGGATGTATCCAAAAAAATACACTAAAGTGCCAGATGTACAAAAAAATATTTAACAGTACCAAACACACCCAAAAATAATATTTTAAAGTGATGGATATATTATAAAATATTTTAAATACTAAATATATCTAAAAAAAATTCAAAATACTAAATCCACCTTAACTCCCTCCATCTTTCAATCGCTCGTTTTAGTTTTTGGCTTATATTGTGCACTTTCGGGTATTTGATGGACCCACATAAACACTGCCACGACCCTTGGCATTGTATTGAGCACAGAAAGGATATCGAAACCCCCCTTCTCTCCCACTTGCTTCTGCTCTTTCTCCGGCAAAATACAAGAAAGGACGTTTGAATCCTCCACGACTCAATGGTCTCCAATCTCTTATTCATCCCTTGAAGCTCTTTGTCCAACGTTTTCTGGTTTTTCTTCAACCTTTTTATTTCCATCATCAATGCTTCTTCCCCCACACTCTACTCATTCTTTCCCTAAAACAACAGAGAAGCGAGTATTTACAGAGCCTAAAAATTTGTGGCAATGGTGGGTTAGTGGGGTGCTGACAATGGTGGATCTAACACCTCTTGCAGTGAAAAATTCTAGCCATATCAACTATATTGGTATAATGTGGCCATGACTAGTAGGAGGAAGAATATGTGTAGTTTGTGATTTTCGCTATTCATTGTTTTGGATTTTGCAGATAATGGGTAGTGACAGAGAAGAAGTTTCAAGATGAGAGCAAGTTCATAGTTATGAAAAGATGGACAAGGGAAATTAAACAGATGACAATGGAATGTTTCAGAGTGGAAGTGAACGAGGAATAATAAGTTGAGCGGTTTGTCTTTGAAAAATGTTTTGCTCTCACATAGGAGAGAGTCTTTTATGAAAGCGTTCTCTCTTGTAATTTTGACAGGAGATAGAGAGAGCAGAAGCAACTGGGAGAGAAGAAGTGGTAGAATCATACTGTCCTTTTATGTGCTTCATCCGTTTAAACTGACGGTTCATGCTAACGAAAGGACTAACAAAAATAGTTGAACAAATAATAAGAATTGAATAAGGAGGAAAAAAAATTACAAGGACTTGATTCAAAAATCTAATAAAACGCACCATTATATTAGTTTTCCCTATATATATATTTTTTTTTTATGATTGAGTTTGGGACCGGGTCCGGGATGGGTTTGCGTCCAACAGCGGCGTGCTGGAAGTGGGAGTAGTGTGCAGCTGAAGTCAAGTCAACCCCACTCAGTATAACGAATGCTTTTCTAATTTCTAATTCAGCCGCCACTAGTCCCGTCCATTGCAATACTTGCTTTTTGCAGGGGCAAGAGAACTAAACGGGTGTTTGGAAAACCCAAAACCATAATTTCAGAAGTATTTTTCTGCGAAACGAGGTAATCTCCTCTACATATTTACTTCGTAATCTGTAAAAGCACTTCTGAAACCATGATTTGGTTTCTATCCAAACACCCCCTAAATATGGCCATGGGATCAGTTTTTTAATGATATATGCACACACACGTATTGTTTCATTATTGTATATTTAATTAATATTTTGCATCTCAAGCAACTCAGGGATTTCCCATGTGTTAGGGAGGACAACGCGGGGTTTAGATTATTACTCGATTGGTCTAAGCTATCTATATTAAATTTGATTTTATTAAATTAATTCTCCGTTAAAAAAGAAAGAAAGAAAGAGGGTATCATTTTCCTATTTCTTCTGCTTTAATTCGTGTTTGATCTTATCCTGCACGTCTGTCCTCCCTCAAAATTAGATTCCCGATTCCACTCCAGTCATATTTAGGTTAGGGCATGTATCCCAAAATCATGGCGTATTTTTATTTTCTTGCTTTTTTGGTGATTGTGTGTGTGTGTCTATATATATATATATATATATATATTTATTTTCGAATCTACGCGATTCTCCTACATATCAGCCGAGTATTGTTGCTTCGGCTCACCTCGCCAACCTCTTACAACTGCGCTCCGTCAGATCCCCCCACCCCACCCCAGTCAATCATCACCTAATAAGTCAAAGTAGCCAAATATATTTTTTTTCTGGCAAAAAAAAAAACCCAAATATTTAATTTCTTTTATATTACAAAATTAGCCGGAAATCTGAAGGACCCAGTTGCTAGGAATGAGGAGCAACAATTTGGAAGCAAATAGGATGAATCGTTTATTCCTATAATGGTCACTGCCATCAGCTCTCGATGATGTCCCCTTTCTTGATCCAATATTTGATCCTTTCCTCCAATCAGTGATGTTGGATCGCGCCGGCCGATCCACACTCAAATCTCCACTCTGCTGCATGTGCCCCTGGGCTCACGTCAACGCTGCACTCACCCATTTGCTCCCTTAATGCTCCGACCCAGTCAACTCCCACTTATTTATATCCATTCACAACACAAACCAGCATGCCATTGCTGTCTTTTGCAGCATAGGATAATGGGAAAAAAATTTGTGCTGTCTCCTTCTTGCTTAATTATTGACATTTACCTGTTCCAACATGAGCCTCTGATCTCTATAAAACCCCTTCTGGTTCCTTCTCATTCCCACACAGAAACTATAGTTCACGCCTTCACTGTCTGCAACTCTGTATCAGTAAATGGCAACCTCCTTCTCCTCTGCTTCTTCCTTCTTCCTCGTCTTCTCTACCTTCCTACTCTATTCCTGCTTTGCTTCCTTGGCAGCCGAGGGTTATCCTCCCTGTCCCATTTCATCTCTCGTGAGCAAAAAGCTCTTTAAAACCATCTTCCTCCACAAAGATGACTCTGCATGCCCTGCCAAAGACTTTTACACCTACGAGTCTTTCATTCTTGCCGCCAAATGCTTCCCTGAATTTGGCACCACCGGCAATATAGCCACGCGAAAGCGTGAGATCGCTGCATTTCTTGGTCAAATCTCCCACGAGACCACTGGTGGGTGGGCCACCGCCCCTGATGGACCCTATGCCTGGGGCTTGTGCTTCAAGGAAGAAATTAAACCTCAAAGTAATTACTGTGATTCCACCAACGCTCAATGGCCTTGTTACCCTGGCAAAAGTTACTATGGCAGAGGACCCATTCAACTCTCTTGGTATGCGCCCCCGCGCGCGCGCGCGTTATTGCCCGTTCGTTCGCTTGTTCGTGCCTTTTTTTCCCCCACTTTCTGGCTTTCATGTAGGTATACTGATTTTAGCTTTTGATTTGCAGGAATTTTAACTACGGGCCAGCTGGGAAGGCTTTGGGATTTGATGGGCTGAGGAATCCCGAAATCGTAGCCAACAATTCTGTGATAGCGTTTAAAACGGCTCTGTGGTTTTGGATGACGGAACGAAAGCCGGTACCTTCTCCTCACAACGTGATGGTGGGCAAATATGTGCCGGCACAAGCTGACACAGCAGCTAATCGTACGGCTGGCTACGGGTTGGTGACCAACGTAATCAACGGTGGATTGGAGTGTGGAATCCCTAACGACGCGAGAGTGAATGATCGGATCGGGTTCTTCCAAAGATATGCCAAATTGTATAACGTGGACACGGGGCCTAATTTGGACTGCGCTCATCAGAAATCATTTTAAGTTCTAACTAATCCTTTTGTTCCGGCTTCGGCTTGCCTTTCTTTTTGTCCTTGGTGTAACTCCTAAAATAAATAATATATTTCAACTCGAAGCGTATTCCCTAGAGACCATGGTTCACGTGAAATTCTGTGCTTATAATTTGACAACGACTTGTCTAGTTTTACAATGTTCTGCGTCCTCATCAGCTTTGGTCACGACGACAGGGTGGCGAACGAAAGCGATATCAAAAGACATGGACGATGTCCGTTATATTTGAATCTTTCCAATCACGTACTCTATAGTCTATACTCATAAAACAAAACATAGCAGCATCAACATTTATTGAGTCATAGAGAGTGCCGGCTGCCCACTCATTTTCCTATAAGTCTCTGAATAATAATACTTCCCGTGCTAAATATAAAAGTTAATCTACTACAAATTAGTTTTTATATTTAGGGTTGCAGGTAGTAACGACTTAGTGGCAGCATGTATCGTCTTTATTTTAAGGTTGATTTCACGCTGTGATTTGTTTTTTTTTATTTCTTAATTTCGTCTTATTAATGGCATGTATGAGGAAATCTATAATCCAGAGCTCGGGGAGGCCCTGCCTTTGGTAAGCCAAAAAAGCCGAACTTACACTGTGACGTTTTTACGCCCGTGTTGTCACCAGGAAAAAAAAAAAAAAGTGTCTTCGTCATGATTATCGGAGCCGTTCGACTTTATGGACTATTGTATTTTCAAGTGAAATAAGAAAAAAGATTAAAGTCGCTGTTAATTTGTCCAAAAACTTTGTCGGCGGGGAGCAGGAAAACGACAACTTCTGTTTCCTCTGAATCACCTTTCATTTTTGTCCCCTCATATTCTGCTTGCCAAAAGTGCAATTACATTACGGAGTATTTCTCAGGGGATGAATTCCAATCTTCCAATGTAATTTTTTATTATCCGACAGAAGTATCCTCTTAAATTATTTATGTGGGTCTGATCTGTTTAGTGCCTTTTCTCATCGAATCTTTTTTATTCTTGTCATTCAATTCGTTTCTCCTTTTTGAAATTTTTTTGGGCCCCAGCCGAAGGCTTGAGAGAGTTCCTATGCCAGCTAATGCGCTTTTGGGCTACTGAAAATGCTGGTTGGATCGAGTTTTAAAGCGAACTTAAATTCGTCGCCCAAAAAAAAAAAATCGAGACTTTAGGCCTGTTCACGACCGATATGCCAAGTCCGACAACTATTTCGACGGGGAAAACATGGTTAAAGGGACTAAATGATTCATATATTTGAGAAAAATGGCCAAATGCAATTTTTTGGCCAAAAAAAAAGCCTGCTATTTCTCATCACTATTAATCTATAGTTTTTTTTGAGTCTACAACTTTTCTTTCATGTTTCTGTAAGTTATGTCGTATTTTTGAAATATTTGAAACTTTTGGGTCTTTCCACCAATTTTAATTTCTGACTAACGTCTCTTCTTGCCCCACCATTTTAATAGCTCGTCTTTCATTATTATGGCGAATTGGATTTCAGCATTTGCTTCGCTGTTCTTTCCCTTTTCAGACCCTCTTTCTCCGAACAAAAAAGCCGAGGAATCGAGTGGAGACAAGTGGGTAAAACAGTGAATGAGAGAAGACAGTTTGTTTAACTTCAAATTCCTGGAAGAAAAGCAAGGGCAGTTTTAGCTAAGAATGTACAAGAACTACTCTTTCCCACTTTCTTTTACTAAAGAAAAAGGACAAAGTTTTGAGGCTGTGCATATACGTCTATAGCTTTCAGCACGCTTTGCCTACCACTACCCTAATCCTGATCACATCTCATCACAGATCGCTACCACTAGAGCTATAGGACAAAATTGGAAACCACCAAATCCACAGGCTGCACTGTCATATCTGAAAATTAACACCCGAATGCGTCTACCCTCGTAATCTTCAATCTCTTCACTGTTGAGAGGAACATTCTGCAACCAAACAAGACGTCATAAGTTAATGCCCAAATATGGAATACTACGTGTTTATCACAATGTCCAAGAGATTCAGGAATCACTCACTCCCACGGAACATCACCGACCATGACCAAATCTCCTTCTTCGTCTTCGTATGTTAGCACATGGCACCTCTCTGGTTGCACCCCATCCATCCCTGTCCCCCCTGTTCAGGCCACACCATGTTGCATTGTTATCAGTCAGAGAGAGAAATCAACGTGTTATCAGGTACAGAATCAGAAAAGCACGGTGAGCGAGAGGTTTGGGACTTTACAGAGAATGGTAGTGTCAAACATGTTTTCCAGAGTCCTCACTAACCCATGGTAGCCGTCGTGAGCTACCAGATTGAGTTTTCTGCCTATTGGAATGCCTTCCATGTACACCTTTACAAACAAGCTGCCATGATCACCACAATCATTTACTTCTGCCGCATGATGAGCACGCTGGTTTGGGATCCAATCTGTTGCTTGCCCCCTAATATGAGAAATAATCGAGAAGGATCAGAATCTGGTAAAACCCGGTGCATGAACTATCTAAGGATGGTGTGGATTCCGTAAAATTCATACCTTGAAACAGAAGAGCCGACATGTTGAGTTGCTGAAATGCCGAGGCCAAGCCTGAGATCTGTAGGAAGGTCAGAGTGGTGGAGGCGGGTGAGGGATGAAGCAGTTGAGATAAGGGGGTGGTTGTTGCTGCTGATAGAGGAAGAAGAAGAGCTAGAGGCTTTGCCCATCTGTGGAATAATAATGTGACTCCAAGAAGCCGCCACCTTAAGCCTTTAAATAAACAGAGTCAGCCTCGAAGAGAGACAAAAGAGCCGGGGGGGGGGGGGGGAGAGAGAGAGAGAGAGAGAGAGAGAGATCTGTGAAAAAGACTTCCTCAACAGCCGCGTTCCCCGCCTCCCTCTTTATCTTCCTTCCATGTCATTGGTAGCCCTAAAATGTTGCCATGGCAGCCGACAACTACACGTGTCATTAAAAAAACAGCATGCTGTAATTCCGTGACAAATCTGATTTTGGGTACGAGCTGTGGAAATTAAAAGGGCTCGTTAGTTGCTGAAAGCTTGAGAAAAATGGTAGTTACATTAAAGTTGACCCCGGGGGTTAGAGACAAGTGAGAGACAAAGCGTGTAAGGGGTAATGCTGAGCGAGTGGGATAGGGAATGAATGTGGACCGTGGACAAAGAATGGGGGGAAACTCAGGTGGACAAAAGAACATTGATATCTGAAACCTTGTACGCAGATGTAATCTATGAATCAATGTTCAATGGATATAATCATCGTGTTGCGCATGAGGGGCCTTGGGTGCAGATACTTGTGTTATATTTTAAAAGAAAAGGTATTATTGGTACTGGTGACGCTACGCATACTCCTCCTCTATGCCAACAAACATCATTGATGTACTTCTTGAAATAATCCCTCATCTCCGAACACTTACAAAACCATCAACCACATCAAAAACATACTCATGAAGGGGAGTTGCATCGATTCATTACAACCCGAGCGAACCATATTCGCGACTTGACAGGTGTCCTCCTGCCTCCACAATCAGCCAGACAGCTCACTGGCATCATTTTCTTTGAAGTTGGGGCATAAAGTGGGTAATTTTCAGTGGAGGAATAATCAAAAGCCATTTATTTGCAATGGATGAGCAGAACAAATAAAAAGGCGCAATATTTGATCGTTGATAAACGTGATCAGTATGAATCTGGAAATGGCTTTGTTTTTTTTTGTTTTTTTGTTTTTTTTTTAATAGTAAAAGGTGATACCCGAGCTCCTATCTTGGGGACAGGCAATCCCCTCTATTAACGATACAAAGAAAAGGCGCAAAGTGGTTAATATTATATTGGTCGTTCCTTCTCCGTTCAAGATCTCGCGCCCCACGTGTATAAATTCACGTGCCGGAGGGAGGGGATTTGGTGAGCCCTGGTTCACAGGCTGAAATTAATTCCTGTGTTGATTCACAGGAAGGTATTTGCTTGGAGCTAAAGGGATGGGAAACGGTGGGAGAGGCAGGGTTGGGAATATGATTTTCAAAAGAGGGAGAAAAAGAAAAAGGCAAAATGTCCCCCACCACCCCAACCATAAGGTTGCTTCGATTAGCCATCAATTTGTCATTTGGTCGCCAGCACAGTATTTTGTGTTGAAACTTAAGGAAAGCAAAGGGGAAACCCACAAGCGCTTTTTCGCCAATAGGCCCAGTAGGAGTGTCTCGCTATTTAAAGACCAAATCTTCTCATTTCTTTGTCATTCCCTGTTTTTACCAGCTGGTAGTTTCACTGCCTCCGTGCCCCGTCATCATTGCCTGCGCCTTTGCAATTTTGAATTCCATCCCTTAGTCAAACTTTCTAGATACGCACTTTTGAATTCTCCCACGTAACATTCCTTGAACTTTCCTGTTAAGATTTCCCCCCCAGTGTCACATGAAATCCTCCGTTTTGCCCTCCCAGTTTTGACTTCTCGACCTTCCCATCCTAACAAGCTTACTGCCTTAATCCCCATGCCTCCACATATTTCAGAGGCTTATCCTCTGAGACCAGACTTTTATCTCGGTTCATATTCGAGCCTTGCATTATAGCTTCATTCATGGGACACCGCCTAGTCCAGGTACTAAAGCAGCGAGCAAAGCACGTGAAAATTAATAATCAAGAATTAATGTCATTGTAATTAAAGTCATTCCATTCATGCGATTACGTTATTCCATAATAAGTTGAGATCCACAAATCCTATTAAGGGCGAACGGTCGAGTGCAATACGGACAACGGTCATGCCCTAGAAACTATTTCTAATAATGGCGCGACACTTTAATTCTCTCCAACTGTCAAATTCTGCTGTGTGTGTTTATTTGTTAAATACGAAACACCCGTATGAGAATAGAATGACAGCGATGACCTTGTCTATTACAATATTACGAGAATAATATAAATGGGATCCGCACCCAGGAGCCACCAAAATTCAAATCTTACGTGACAAGTCAGCGACACTTTATCATCACTGTGCAATGATATACCGGTCCTACAAAATTCCTACAACCCACCAAAATTTGCCCCTATTTGTACACTTTCTGCGACAGAAAATCATTTACTTCGGCCGCCACCTCGTAAGCTCCCTCAACACATCGTCCCAAGGCAACACCAGAC